GGATGGGGCTTTGAGAAACCTGGTCTAGTGGGAGGCGTCCCTGCCCATGGCAGGGGGGTGGAACTCTATGATCTTCAAGATCCCTTCCAACCTAAACCATTCCATGACCTTTTATTACTTTAAATTGTAAATATTACAAAAGTGCTGGTTCAAGTTTGTATGAAGTTGAAATAACCTAAATCCTCTTTTTTTTTTTTTCATATTCTTTAAATCTTTTATCAGTGGTTTAGAATGAAGCATACGCTTCTGGAACGTGTATCTCAGGGCTGGGATTCTCAAATGAAATCAGATGGCAAAAATCATAAATCTTCTTCCCTTTTGCTTTTTGATAGTTCCAATCAAGAAAGTTATGAGGCTGGAAGATCCTGTTTATGTTCTAATGTTATGAAAATATTTTCTTCATGCAACCAATGTAGTTTTAATGTTCTAGAAGTCCACAGCAGCAAATGCCAGTCTAGTGAGATAACATATGCAAAATTATAGAAACAACATATACCACATTCTCTCTTTCTTTCAGAGACACTGCTGTGTTATTTCACAGAAGTAATGTGACTTAAGAGTAGCTTAGACTGGAAACAATTGAGGGTTTTTGATACATAACACCAGATAGCTGTAAAGAAGTTTAAATTTCAAGCATTACCACGCAGAAAGATGTCACTCCCAAAGAGCAGACAAGGATCTGGTCTTAAAACGTTGAAGTATAACCAGAGACAAAACTGACACAGTAGGTAAATATTTTAGGCTTCATCTGCAAATGGAAAATATAAATCTGTCTACTGCCTTCAGATAAACAGCATGGTTAAATACTTTAGAATATCTTTTGATCACTGATCTTAAAGAACCCTCACAAGATGAAAAGAAATCATTATCATTAATGTTCACGAATTGGAGCCTGAAAGCTTGAAAGACTTGAAAGCTCAAATATGACAGTTAAGACTGTCGGTTGTTCCTAAGTCTTCTGGAGAAATAAAATGTGCAATTAGAGCTCTTTGGTTACCTGAAGGATGTTCAGCACTTCACAAATTAGTGCTCCAAACTAGAACACTACTGGAAAATTTTTAAAAGTTTGCTTCAAAATAAATATTCAAGCATATTTTGATGTAGAATCCGCAAAACATTTGTGGATGTTTATTTCAATTCATTTCAGTGTTTACTGTTTCCTATGAAAACAGCTATTGAAATGAAAACTTCCCTACAATCACTTCTTACTAACTTCACTTTTTTTTTGTTGGAAAATTCTCCCATCAAAGTAATTTTAAGATCTGTGAGAATCTTCTGAGGAAACAAAGGTAGGGGGAAATGATAAATTAAGAAAAATACAACACAAACAAACGCCAGATTTTATTGAGGTACTGTGTTCACATATGTTTGTGCAATGAACAATCACATTTGGCTAAAGGCGACCATATTCATGACATGAAGACTCCACATTAAGATGGCACACAGCGAAAGCTTAAAATAAAGCTTGGTCTAACATGGTGTGCCAAATTCTGCTCTGCTTGACAACTGTGTTATCTCATTGGAAATGCACAGGGTAAAGACAACAATTTGCACAAAAATGACTAGCAGCAGTAACTGGTATGTGCAACTCAAAATACACTACTTCTCAGTACAGTAACCATACACAAATACATAACCCTGGCACAGCTTCAGATTGGCCTCTGGTTATCAACAGTGGTTGCAATAGCCAGGAAACACCTCTGGAAGAGTGAGTCTGGTTCTCGGGGCTCACAGTCACAGTTCATCCTTGTGGCTCAGGAAATCTCATGGAGCCACTTGGCCGTGTCAACAGCTCGTTTCGATGAGGGCCTTGTGAACGATGCAGCTCTGTATCTGCAAAATACCAATCACAGTTAAGAAACAGACTGAGAAGGGGAAGGTTTTTTTCCTCTGTTGCACGGCAGAGTTGGTAAAGAGATCCTACAAACAAATCCAGAACAAACCATACAGCTCAATCCATTTCACTGGGATTACTTCATTCCAAGCATCTCGTTATATTCCTAATCTTTATCATGTGAAGAATCACACCTCTGAAGGGCATCGCTACAACTATAAAACACTAAATGCCTCCTCTGGGGATGTATGTGGATGGGTAGATCTGCTGTTGCTCCTCTGCTGTGCAAATGAGGATTTCAAGGCACAATGGTGCTAAAACAAAACAAAAAAGGTTTAGGAGATAAAGACAGTCATTAATCTAACCTTTCTATGCAGTGCCTCTTGGACAATGCACCACTAATATCTATGTTAAACTACGCATTTCATTTTTTTTAATGATAGACATGCTCACAATGTCTGCCTTTAATGCTGACAGATACAAAAATATATCACAAACTACACTCGAAGCATTTCTATACAAAGAAATCACTCTACTGCTCATTAAAACAGGATTGCTTCTTAGGTGAAGCACAACAGCTGTTGGTACAGATGAGTTTAGAAGCAGATGTTTGTCTGAATATGCAAAAAAGTAATGGACATGCACTGAAATCCGGCCAGAAAATCACAGCTAATTCAGCTACTGACAGAAGTCCTGAAGTGTGAAATCTTGGATTTCAAGGCAGATGGCAACCAGCAGCAAGGAGCATCCTAACCAGCAAAGAACATCGCTTCAGTACTCGTTCATTGAGAGGAATGACGCTTATCTGAGTTCAGTGACACTTTTTGTAGATTCTAGATTTTCTTCTGCTTAAGGCTCTGAGGTTGATTATATATTCCTCACCAACTTAAATCAAAACATGCAGGGCATACATATGAACTTAGATTTGTACCGTCCCCCAGTATTGACATCTGGTTGGCAGCAGGCTCAATATGAGTCAGCAGTGTGCCCTGGCAGACAAGAGAGCTAACTGCATCCTGGGGTGCATTAAATACAGCATAACCAGCTGGTCAAAAGAGATGATTATCCCACTGTATTTAGCCTTGGTGTGGCCTCACCTTGAGTATCGCGTGCAGTTCTGGGCCCCACAATTTAAGAAGAATATTAAAGTACTTGAATGTGTCCAGAGGGCAACAAAGGCTGGAAAGAATGTCCTATGAGTAGCGGCTAAGGACTTTGAGCTTGGCTAGTTTGGAGAAAAGGAGGCTGAGGGGTAACCTCATTGCCCTCTACAGCTTTCTCAGGAGGGGAGTGGGAGGCGCTGATCTCATCTCCCTGGTATCCAGTGATAGGATGCATGGGAATGGTTCAAAGCTGTGCCAAGAGAGGTTCAGACTGGACATAAGGAAGCATTTCTTTACCGAAAGGGTAGTCAAACACTGGAACATGCTTCCTAGAGATGTGGTCAATGCCCCAAGCCTGGCAGTGCTTAAGAGGCATTTGGACAATGCCCGTAATAATTTGCTTTAACTTGTGGTCAGACCTGAACTGGTGAGGCAGTTAGACTAGATGTTTGTTGTAGGTCCCTTCCAACTGAAATAGTCTGTTCTATTCTATCTCCACATACAGCATCTCTGATTAAATACCAGATCAGAAAGGAGGTCAGATGTTCCTATTATGGCCATCACTTTTTCTCCAGACTTGGGGCAGACCCACGCAGAGCCTGACACAGCACCCAAGACTGTCTCTACTCAGAGCAGCTTGACAGACTTTTCTTCCCAGACTTGGACACAGTCTACCAAAAGCCAGGGGCTGCTGGCGTGGCCTAAGGGATGCCTGGGACTAAGACACAGCCCCCCAGTACACTAAGGCTGTAGAGATCCTTCATCTATCTCAGTTTTGACAAGTGTGAGTCTAGCTTGTTCAAGATGCCCTTGGAAGAAAGTCCCACAAGGTGCCTCATTGGCTGGTCCAGTACTACTTCCACCCTTACAGTCTGGAAGATTTTCTGTTACTAAATCTGGATGTACTTCAATTCAGCACATTACTTAAACTGCCTGCTACAGACATGGAAAATAATCACTGTCCTCTATTCCACATAACTGAACACTGCCACTCATCTTTTCTTTTCTAGACTTAAGCCAGTTTAAGCCTGTCCTGCTGTTCCAAAAATCTTCATAATTTTCTGTTTTCTCTCCTCAGCAGTATATCAACAACTAAGAGCATTACTGTAACGGAGGTACTGCCAGTGCTAACTGGAGCAAATTATTACCTTACATCCTATACACAGTTCCCTTCTTTAGTATGTCAGACTAAAAGAAGAGCCCAGAACATCAATACTCTGTTTATGACATACTGTAAATCCCCAGATATTTTTTTCCCCACATCACTTAGTGAGTTATCCTCCCTTAGGTATAATTGAGGATTTGATTTCTTGCTTTTAAGTACAGTATTCCCTTTTGTCTTTACTTTATTTCACCTTTTTTATTTCAGACCATTTCTCCAGGGCACAGAGATGATTCTGAAAGGTAGTTTTCTCCCCCAGAGTTTTGCAAGACTTCCCAGGGTGGTGTCATCCATAAATTTTATATATATGCCCTTTAGTCCTTCAGCCAAGCTCTTACTACTCAACTGGGACAGAGTACTGAGACATCCTTCCCTCCAAAAATGAGTTTGAGAATAAGACACTATAAACTTCTCTTTGACTGCCTTTTCATAAAGACCTGTAAGTCATAGCCACTTGTTCCTACTTATCTGACATGCAAAATTACCTTGACAAAGACAGAAATTAGACTTGTTGTCATGATTTGTCTTCATGAAATCTGTGTCAAGTTTTTCTTGTGCGTAACCCGATTGTTTAATAATTTGCTAACTTATCACTCCAAGTTAGAAGTGATTCTTGTAGCCGTTTATGTCCTCTCCTTTCCCTTTTTAAAGCAAAGACCTGTGTTTGCCATTTTGCTGGAAAAGAGCATGCAAACAAGCTTGAATTTTATGCTGAACTACATCAGTTCCAAGGGTGTAGAACCATAGAATCATAGTAGGGGGTCCTGTTCCTAATTAAAACCCAGTGAATTTGTCAGAGGAAGTATGCATGCTAAATCAAACCTAATTGCTACATGTAGCTTCCTCACAGCAGTGAGAGGTTTACGGCCACTCATGGACACTGACTTATCAACACACTGTGACGTGGCTCCCCGTAACAGGTGAGGGCATGAAATCCACAACAAGCAGAAAAGCAGAGGACGAAAAACAATTAGAGACCCAGAATTTCTACCAACGCTTAACCAGATTATCTTCTGAAGTTCAGAAAAGATCCTTGCCTCCCTCTCCATTTCCACAGAAAGCTCCCAGCTGCTCTGTTCTGCATCTGGAAGCAAAAAGGCTCGCAGGCTAAGGGCATAGTTTTCCTGGGTTTAGCCCAAAAAGAGGTCTCAAGTATTTTGACTCTTCATGATAATGCCAGGCTCACTGGGCCAAGAAAAAATGGGTAATTCTTCCACAAAAAAAGCTTTTAAATTTTTTGGTCTTTATATAATGCATGCATTCAAACCCTACAAAAAAGTCCTTTGCAGCTGGCCTTTCAATTCTCTCCCTCTGTTTCTCTTCCTGTGAGCAATAGTGGTTAGCAGGCTACACTTCAGGGCACTCCATAAACACCACTCTCGATGACACGGTGGAAAGCAGGCAAACTGAAGCACGAGGAAATGAGGGACTTGTGGCCTTCAGAAAGCAATGCCATATTCACAGACCTGAACTGAGGTCTCATCTCAGTACTTAATGCCTGCCACAGATATTTTTGGATTTTCTCACTACAGATGGCTTTCTGACTGCAGGATCCTTTTTAGTTTTCCCATGGCATTTCTCTCCCACAAGCCATTTCATTCGCAACAGGAAAAAAAAAAAAAAGTGTGGAGGTGGTTAAGAGTTTCAGAATGAGTTTTGTTACACTTAAGTATTTTCATGAGGACAAGCAGCCCAAACCAGGCTGTTATGCTGATAATAAAAGTGCTGAGAAAAACACATTTGCACTTATGATGCACAGCGTGGCTTTTTAAGTGTACAAGAGAAAATACATGAAGCAGGGAACTCTGACACATTTACTTTCCTGCCCTTCTAAGAACAACTGCTAAGCAAACAGGCCCACTTTTTTTTTTCCTGTGACAGACATTGCCAATCTATGGCTATTCTCACATTCTGTGGCTGTTTAGCCATGAGCTTTCACCCCCTACAGAAAGTAAAATACATGTTTCATGCCATCTGAATTCTTTTGCATTATTCATAAATTCCTCTTAAGTCTGAAGTACAATTCATCTGTACTGGCGTACATTTTGTATGGTCTGTGCCATAGGTAGTTTGACCCTTAAACAAGATTTCAGCATAAAAATCAAGTCAGCATATAAAACTTCACTTTTTGCAAGATAATTCTCTTCAGTTCCCTATCAGACTTGACTCAGCATTTGTAGGCAGCATCCCCAGGAAGCAGAATATGACTGAACTATCCACCAGATACTTCACTGCCCTTTGTCACACAGGAGCCTTTCTTGCAGTTCATTGCTAAAGAATTCCTTTTGAATGATAAGTAACAACGGCTGCCTCCTTAGTAAGCTCTGGTGCATCCTGGACAGCATCGGAGCAAGGACAAAGACAGCATAAAGGGAATGTGATCTCTGGCACAAAATCATGAAGGAGTACTCATGTAGAAGTAAATCAAGAAGAGATTTCTCTGCGGAAGGACTCTGTTCAAGTCTCTGCAGATACTTCCCTGCGCAAGGACAGCATCAGAGCAATATAGAAGTAAATCAAATAGACAGTTCGCTAGTGCTTTTCAGAAAGCTAAAAACCCACATAAAGAATCATGGCATTTTGAAATGCTTATCATATCTGCATCACCACATATAAAACAGAGCAGAGGATATACAAATACAACAGAATATGAT